TAATATTTGTTTGTAGATCTGTGTATTTCAAAGCAAGTATAAGTTTTATTCGTAGTTATTTAGCTAGTGCTAGATTTGGCTGTCAATTTATTTTTCTATTTAACTAATTGAGAATTATTGTAATTGTTTTTCATGAAATTAATAGCTTTCATGTTAATTACTGTGACCTTTATGCTTATGAGAAATATTTTCCTTCTACTCATAGAGTATCAATGTCATAAGCATAAAATACTTTCAATTCCAGTTTTATCAGAAATACACATACACAATTGATATTCTTGCATTAAAAATAAAATACCTTTCTTGTTCTCGTTATTGACATCATGATGCTATTTGTATATGACTGACCATAACTCAAAATACTTCAAAGATCAAGTATGCCAGAAAAGATACTGATTTACATAGTCATTGAACAGTTGGGCCTTCTGAAGGCCAGAAACAAATTAACTATCAGCTTTTGGCTGAAGCTGAACTATAGCTGAATTTATCATAACACTTATTTATTTTGTTAAAGATTTACAGAGAATCTTACAAGTGCTAGATATCTGATTGGCTTTGGATCTATAATAATAAAAGAGAATAAAGTAACCTTATTTTCTTTACATTTAGGTAACATATATATCCCAGCCTATTCGCCTATCATATTACCTAATTTAAAAACTGGTTCAAATGTCTCTCCTACTGGCTGTAAGAATTCCAGTGTTTTATCAGTTTTCCCATCCTGAACATTTTTTGAGCCCCTGACATATCCCAAGCTAGTTGTTGTTCGACATCTTAACCAGCTGCGTGGTTTCGGGCCAGTGCCTTCCTTGTCATTGGTCACCAGCATCCCTCAGACTATTGCTCCTACTCTCCCACATATGGCTTTCACCCCAGGTGCCATCCCAGACTCTTGCACAGTTCCCCACAGTAATAGGAATATCAACTGTGCTGTGTGCATGACTTCACTGATGGTTTGGAGATTGTTTAAAAGGTGTGGGATGTTATACAAGAGGATAATTCAACAATTGTAACTAGATATATGAGTTCCCTGAGTTAATGGACCAAAACCCTCCTTGAGTGTTTTGTATTGTACAAAGTCTTCTCTGCCCAGTCTCAGGCCTATTACCCCATTTCAGGGCTCAGCTTACCTTTCCGCAGCAGGAATACCTGAAACAAGATCCCATGTCTACATCCTAAGCCTCCTGTTCCCCCAGGCCCAGAGACAGTCATCAGCTCATACTCAGTGTCCATTTCCTGTCCCCTGCCAATCTTCTGGCATGACTGAGGGTGAAAACCTTTCTTCCTTCTCGCACACATCCATGGAGGTGTGATATTTCTCTTTAGTTCTTAGGATAATTCAGAGCAAATCAGTGCTTTCTCCAAAGTTGTGTTTTTTTCAATCAGGAATGACCCCAAATATGGGGTTTATGCAACATAAACCCCGGTTAGCGCTTTGGTAATTCTAGGCTGTTCTTTTGGAGGTAAAATATGTTCGTGTTCTTCTTGCAGCTTCCTGTCTCCACTGATCTTTTACTTGAACATATTCATTTCCCAGTATATAACAAAAACTTTCAGGACAATACAATTATTATTATTTTGAGATGGAGTCTTGCTCTGTCACCCAGGCTGGAATGCAGTGGCGCAATCTTGGCTCACTGCAACCTCTGCCTCCCGGGTTCAAGCAATTCTCTGCCTTAGCCTCCCGAGTAGCTGGGATTACAGGCACCTGCCAGCACTCCTGGCTAATTTCTTTTGTATTTTTTTCATAGAGATGGGATTTCACCATCTTGATGAGACTGGTCTTGAACTGCTGACATCTCCTTGACCTTGCTCACTGTTTTCTCTCTGGTATCCTGCCCTCTGCCTACCTAGTCTATATCAATATCCTGAAATGAGTGAATGAATAAATAAAACATACATGCCATAAAACTATATAAATAATTAAACCAGTAATATAAGAATTGTGTGTTGTGCTAACTTTATGAACACAACGCCTCAGGAGTGCAGAGGTGGGAAGAGACCCTGGCGAGGGAGCATCATGAGGACATCAGGAAAAGTGGTAAGCAAGGAAACAGCCATCTTGGATTTGGTGATTAGCAGTGTTGATAGTCAGTTTGCAAAGACAAGCACTACTGTGGAGAGGAGTTACAAGCCAAGTTAGGGGTTAAGGAATGAACAGGAAGTGGATAAAACTGATTGACTTGAGTTGAGGAATGAGCCTTTTCACACTTGCATAGAAGGAAGGCAGCCTCTTAACTTATTCTCCATCTGATGTGACCACTCTGAGTCAAATAATGTATTGCTGTACATGTACAACAGAGATGTCTACCTCCGGATCAGTTTCCTGTCTTTTTTTTTTCAAATTATTATGGAAAACAATTGGATAACATGGGGAGAAATGCCAGATGTAGGTGATGGGGGATGGAGGCAGCAAACCACATTGCCATGTGTGTACCTATACAACAATCTCGCATTATCTGCACATGTACCCCAGAACCTAAAGTACAATAAAAAATAAATAAATTATGATGAATTCAACCAAGCAAAGAAAAGAAAACAATTGGATAACAATGCAGTTCAGGGCCAGTCCTAGGGAATGTTGTAACACTGGAAAAGTTTCCTGATGGATCGCTTCCTGGTGATTTAAAGTCACTCCTTAGGATATTCTCTGACTGTCCAGTTTGAATTCATAAGCTCTTTTCTCCAAAAGCAGCTCAAGCACCAACTTTTTCTCATTCTTTCACCTGTACTAAAATATCTTATTCTCTTATCTTATCTCTTATCTTATTCTCTTATGAATGTTAAGTTGTTGGTCATCTAATTTTGTAAAATAATACAAAAATAAAAGCATAGAGTATTTGGTTCAGTTGTCCTGACTTTTCTTACACTAATTCCTGGCAATCCAAAGTACAGTGCTGCCCACTGCTCTGTTTAAAATCAGACACCCCTGAAGGTCCTTCCCTCCCATGCAAGTGAAACATATAATTAAGATAGTCTGATGAAAAACTTTAAAATAGACTGTGAGATTTTTCTCTCTTCTTCCATTTAAACTCAACGTTACTTTCCCCTTAGTGAGAAAGCTGACATTATAAATGTTGTCACATTCACACGTATTATAAGTCTAGAAGTGATATCATCTCAGGCCAAAAGTGGATGCTGAGACTGATATCTTGCCTCTCTGCCACCTCTAGGTCCTTTTCCCAAGACCTCTGCAGCTAAATATACTTTGGTTGCAAGTGGCTGTTAACAGAAGCTGACCTTATTTTTCCCCTGAGAGGGAGGAAAGTGTGAAGCCAGAACTAGGACTAATAAATTGGGATTTGGTGAGCAGAGTGCACACCCCACCCCCAGGCATTTGATCTTTTCTAGAGTGGCCCATGAATGCGGTGTTGGAGGTTTGGTCAATCACTTGTGAGAGTAACCCTTGGAGAAGATAAAATAGGGTTGATACTGGTACTCCGAAGAGGTTACAGAATTCTAGAAGAGTCATTTATTTTATATGAAATATTTCTTTCTTCCTACTTAAAATATGTATGTTTAAATAAATCGAAAATAGAATAATTTCCAGGATAAATGGCAATCATAAAAGCACAGGTAACATGCCTTTTTTATACGATAATGCAAACAAAAAGTCACAGGAACGTTATGATGTATGTCTTGTGTCTGTGAAATACCATGTGTTAATTTGCAATATGGACAAGCCTGTGTACCTCCAAAGTTTAAATTTTCAGATGAAAGTGTCAACAGTTCTCAGCTAAGTCAAGGATCTTGCTGGCTTGAGTTGAAATATAAACTTAGGTTTCAATGATTGAGTACGATGGTGCCCGACCTCATTCTGCAAAGTTAAACGTTATTGGCTTTTCTTACGTTTCACAGTGGATTAGTTTTCTAGAAAGGGCAAACTGTTAGTAATGAGCTCATTTTAAAAATCATTTACTTGTTTCAACCAATTCTTATGTTTTAATATTTTAAGAGAAGACATAGATATTTGAACATAACTAATATGGCACTGATATTTCCTTAAGTTTTATGAGAAAAGTGGCTTTGTGATAACATAATATCTTAGGTTTAAGCAATAAAAGCAAACATATTTATGTGCAGTTCAAATCCCATTTCAATTACAGCTGAATTATTTTCTGTAGCTTAGCTACAGGAACTGCTTAAACCTCGTTTCTGCATAGTTTGAGCAGATTTTAAGGCAGGAGCTAAAAGAAATAGATTGACTTGGAAAATTTGTGTAAGAGAGTCCCTTAAAATGGCATCATCAGGTTAAAGTATTAAAAGGGACAAGTAAGTTTTGCACATCACAATTAATAATGTCTAAACAACCTTCACAATTGGATGTATGGGTATAAACAAGGAGATTTTTGGGGGGCCTAGTATACATTAGAATGATTATCTGGTTTTATGGTCAAACCTTTTCAGAATTTTAAACATCCAGCTTGTGAATACCCCAAATATGGACTTATCTCTAGTAACATCTTTCCTTAGAGCTCTGAGCCAACTTGGATCAAAAGAACTGTTGAAAGCCAGTACCTTGCATCCCCTGAGTTTGTTCTATAAGCAGAAGTCTCTTACAAGCCATAATCCTTCCTTCATATAAACTCTCCATCTCTTATGGCACAACACTGCCACCTCAGACATTCTTTCTCACATGCACCTTTTTCTCTAAATTTTAGCCAAATTGCCCTCCCCTTTCTTTTTGGGAAGCATCTTTTTATTTATTCAAATTGTAAACCAAAACATTGTTGTAAACACTGATAATTTTGAAAATTCTCATATTCCTGGTATCAACTAAAATGAAAAATTTCATGAAATGGAACCAGACAAAATAAGATGTCAAGGCAATCTTCATCAATCAAAGGTCTCAAGGTTCAGAAAATCTCTTTAGAATCTTTCCTTAGTTTATAATCTACCTCTGTACTGTTATCTAAACAAATGAAGAAAAAAAATCATGTCTTATTCTATTTTACTCTTTTTGAATTAGCAGTTTACTAAAATATTATTTTGTGTTTCAGATGTTCTACATTTCAACTCCATCAAATATTAAATTGACGTTTATGGGCTAAACTGGAAACTTAGAAACAATTTGTTTCACTACAAGGATAAGAAAATATGTCCAAATTCCTGTCGGCTGACATATAAAGAGACTTTTAGAACACAACCCAATGTAAGTTGCAGACATACAGTGTTTTGGTCTTTGTTACCTCCCCTTTGGTTAAGGCATGTATCTGTTTGTACGTGCCCAGGTATATGCAGATGTATATACATTTGTGTCTATACATGAACATTTTCACAATTCTGGATTCAGAACATCATTTATTCCTTCCTTCAATAAAATTTGAATGCCTATTATGTAAAAGGTGCGGCTGTAGGCCTAAAATATCCAAAGTTGAAGTGACTGTCCTCGTAGAGCTCATACTCTGATGTGGAGACAGACATAAGCCAAGTAATTGCACAAATACCTAAGAAATGCACACTCTGATAGGTGCTGTGAAGACAGGTCACATAACACGATATCTGAGCATATAACCACATCTTATCTTGTGTTCAGGGTCAAAAAGTGTTCCATGAAGAAGGTGATTTGGCAGCTGAGATCTCATGGGCAGGCAGAAGTTAAAAGAATAAAGAGGGTAGAAGGTGATGGGAAGAGGGGAAAGGATGGAGTATAAAGTGCTCCAGGCAAAAGGAACTTCTGTTCAAAAGCCCCCAGGCACAAGGAGCTCATGTTCAAAGACTGTACTTGCTTATTTAGGTTCTTTTGATTTTTTTCTAGGAGTAACCACTGAGTAGCTGGGCAGCTTTTAGCTTAAACAAACCACTAAAGATTCATTGTAATGATATTAGGAAATAAGAAGGCATATATAATTTCAGGAGCACTTGTCCTTGTTTTGTTTTTCAGGCATGAGGTACTCCTTAAGCCCTGACAACCATCTTGAAGATGGAATGATGAATATGGCAAATTTTCTACGGGGCTTTGAAGAAAAGGGGATAAAGAGTGACAGGCCTGAGGACCAGTTGAGCAAAGAGAAAAAGAAAATTCTGTTCTCCTTCTGTGAAGTGTGCAACATCCAGCTGAACTCTGCAGCCCAGGCTCAGGTGCATTCCAATGGCAAATCCCACCGCAAACGAGTGAAGCAGCTGAGTGATGGGCAGCCTCCACCGCCCACGCAGGCCAGCCCCAGCTGCAACAGCAGTACAGGTAGGAGGCAGTGTCCTGGAATCCATGTGCTATGGGGAGAGATGGTCGTGGTTTAGAAAATGAAGGATTTAGAACAAGACTTAATTTTTACCTTAAAACTGGGCCACTCTGATAACATGTACTCTTTCTCCTACAGGTAAAACCCATGAGCTGTTTGCTACCTCTCGAAATATTTGTTACATCCACTGACATATGCACTGGCACACACATGTGTACACACACACACACAATTTGTATATTGGGCCAGAGACTTCCTGTATCCCCACAATGTGTGAACACTTCTGAATGTATTTTGAAATGTGCAGTGATGTCATTTTTTCCCCTTTCTCAAAATTAGCTTTCTTGGGTTTCCTTTATCTACTTTCTATTGGGTGGCATACCACTTGATAGTATATAAAAAGCTACAGCTTTATTTATAACATCCTATGATGCAGGAGAGGAGCATTAATCTTGCATGTTAAACTTGTCATATTCTTTTAGAGAGTTGCCAGCAGTGTGCTGGGTGTTCTAACAATAGGAACAGACACTGCCAAAACCAACAAGGCTTCCCTCTGAAATGCAGCACCATCATCCATTGCTTTCACTTGCCTCTCACCATTTCCTTGTGGGCTGGATAGAGGCAGAAGCTCAGGAATTTTTGCATTTCTGCCTCTGCCCTGAATTCTAAACAATCTTTCAAATCCTCTATCTTATCCTTGGGCAGCACCTCTTCCTCCACATTGCTTGTTATTGAGTGTCTTCACTGTGACAGAATTAAAGAAAAATGTGATATTTACCGTTATCTGTGGTGAAGATTTCCACAAAAGGCAGGCTTCCTCCCAGGGTTTGAGGTGGGAGGCCAAGATAAGCCTCCTCCCAAATGTGAGGGAAGAGCTCCAAATTCTACTCTAGCAAAGGTTTGCCGTGTAATGAGGCCTCAGCTTGAAGTGAGATGTTGCAGAGAAAACGTTTGTTGGAATTTCACTCAGTGCCGTTACATGGTTCTTGGTGTGTTGTAAATAAATAATTTTTATATTTCAAGCCAAACCTAACTACTTTTTACTCAGCTGATGGTTTAATTTCATTAAACTGTTTTTTTCAGTCAATACTTAACATGCTGTGAAAGAAAGTAAAGGGACGTACAGGATATAAGATACATACTTATAATGGTAGAAAAATTATTTTTGCATTTTTTATTATGATAATTATAGTAATTATTTCAAGGTGTATTAATTTACCTATAGTTACATATTAAAAATATAGTCAGTGTTACAGCCGGGCCGAGTGGCTCACACCTGTAATCCCAGTACTTTGGGAGGCCGAGATAGGCAGATTGCTTGAGGCCAGGAGTTCAAGACCAGGCTGGGCAACATAGTGAAACCCTGTATCTACTAAAATTAGAAAAAATAGACGGGCATGGTGGCACACACCC